TCTCCGGCCCCTGTGTTGGTCCGTGTGCATAGGTGTACTCGATTTGTGTGTCTGTCTCCCCAATTTGACTGGCTTCTTGTGTATGGAGATGCAAAAGAGTGGACCATAAGACAAAAATTGGGGGCGATTGGAGGATGGGGGTGATTAGATATGGAGCAATGTAACAACATGGTAACAATGCGACAATATAAGAAATGTTGCAATATGGTTCTGGATAATTGTTTTGGGAGAAATACAACAAATATTACACATATGTAGGGATAAAGTGTTAAACAGATATATTCTTTATCTAAATGGATACTACAACCAAAAAACAGTGCTCCAAGGCCAAAATCACCCTGACACCCAACCCTCCACAAATAAAAGTTGACACTTTCATAAATTATTCTGGTTACACCCCCTGGCTGTCAATCAGACAACCAGTCCTGTAACTTCCTGGTTGTTTCGCTCAGTGGCGATAAAATCAAGAGGTAGCAATTGCCCAGAGCACCTGCCTTGCAAAGACTTCTCGTTGAAATGCATTGGGAAGTCTGTGATTGGACAGGCACAGAAAGTCTGTGTAAAGACAAGAGGTCTGCAACTTTTGCATATGGTTGATAGACAAACCCACAATGAAAATATGCATTAATAAATGTATGGATGTGTTCACTGGGGTATATCTACAAAACTGATATTTTTTTGTTTGGGTACTGGAGTGTCCCTTTAGCCAACATTTTGTCATATCCCTGCTTTAGCACAGTTGAGTCAATCTATGACTCCATTACATTGATTCAAGAACCTGTGCATAAATCAGTATAATTTGAAATCCAAGCCTGTTGGTGATGTGAGGACAGATTTAAAGAGCAGCAGTCTTATTAGAAGTGCTCTCTCCCGTCCTGTGCTAAAGTAGATTATATAAAGCTTGTGAACAGGTGAAGCCTGGGAGGTGTCATTAGAGATGGGAGCTTTAAAGGTAATTTTGGAGTATTACCAGAGGGAGTTTGCGGCAGTGTTGTAGGGGGCTAGGGGTGGAACATGCAGTGATTATGGCGGATAGGTGGAATGGCTATAGGTTCACTGGTGACAGTATAAGCTTATCAGGTGAGGGGTAGATGCCTATTTTGTGTATGTCTGAAGAGTACCTCATCTGTTTACAAGAAATGTATGTTAATGTGCATAGAGTTACGACGTAGTCTAGTAACAGCATTGTTACAATTATTCACTAACAGAAGGTGTAGAGACATACAACAGATGATAAAACCACTCCGATGTTATGTAATTTCCTTTATTACAGGAATTTTCCCCTGCTGATTACAAATTTAGCTCAAATAACAACAAATATATATTATTTTCAAAATAATACAAAAAGATAAATATATATAAAATTCATTTGGTAAATAAATACAACTTAAATAGATTTATACATAAAGATACACACTGTGATTATACGAATCAAGGTGGCAATCAGTTTCATATTTTTGGGTTTAAATTCCCTGCTATGGACTATATAATATCCAGGCCTGAGATGAGTGTAAGCTCCGAGGGCGAGTCTTACTGACCCCCAGAGTTATGAGGCACAATATGTTAACTCATATGGGAGCACTGCAATAATATTACAAAAGATGTCTGGGGTAAATTATTATACACAGAGTACAGGGGCTGTTTGCGTACTACACCGAAAAGAGTGAGTGTATCAGTATTATACACATAGCAAGGTATGCCCATGTAATAAACTGAGAACAAGGGGTTTAGATGTACTATGCAAAGAGCAGGTTGAATATCTGTATGATAAACAGACAAGGAAGTGCGTGCGTATTATAACCAGATCAGGAAGTGTTTATATATTATACACAGATCAGGAACTGCATGTGTATTAAACACATCAGGAAGTGTTTATGTATTAAACACACCAGGAAGTGTTTATGTATTACACACAGATCAGGAAGTGTTTATGTATTATTCACTGAGCCTGGTGTTGCAATACATTACAGTTACTCTGTACTAGAGTACGGATAGGTAATACCTTGTAGTGCCTCTGTATTAGTGCACAGTTGTGTAATCGATTCCAGTAATTTTATATTAGTACATCGCTGAATAATACATGACAGTACCTCTGTATTAGAGCATGGCTTGTTAATGCATTGCAGTGCCCCTGAGATGTTTTTGAGTTTCAGGGATTTAGAAAATTAAGAGCTCAGGTTGTCCAAAGCAGGGAAATGTCCCGACCACTTCCAATGACTCAGATCTGGACCAGCCAGCCCTGGAGCGTGGGGTGGAGGGGCAGAAAATTAATGCTGTACCTTGTTCTGCTACATACTTCAAGATCTTTCCTACTAGGAGAGACCTTTACACAATAGCCTATTCAGCCTGGAGACCTTGTGGTGATAAATGGATGTTGTCCATGGCTGCTACAGTTATACTGAAGAAAGGTCAGGGAGAACATAATGCTGGTGGGTTTCCACTTCTTCCAAATTCCTTTTAAAGTCCTGAGATTAAGAACAAGGCACTCTGATCCCTGAGGTCAATGTCCCCAAATTGGTGATGGAACGAGTACCATTGTGCTTGTCTAGTAACAGGCAGGAAGGTTACACAAGAAGGGTTGGAGGTGGCCTGGAGGGGCCTGCTGTTTTGGCAGAAGCATGGCACAGCATTTTGGCCCCCACGGCTTTCCCCACATTAAATGGACAGCTTGGCAGAGACCCCTCCTCAGTCGGACACTGATAGGCGATTGAATATGGGCAATCTTTTGCTGGTGGGAGGGGGCACCTGGCATTTCATCTCAAAGACTGGTGACTCGGAGCCACTGCTGTAACATTCTGTCTCTGGCAGTGAGCTTGAGGATGGGGAACGGAAGAGAATAGAGTGCGAAAATGGGTCCTGAGAAACGTTCCCAGCACGGGAACAACGGCACGAGCAGCATCTGGAACAAGGCTCAGAGGATTTTAAGGAAGAAACATGGCTTCTAGCCTCAGACGGTGCAGGAGAGAAGAACATTTCAGAAGGAGGAGGGGAGACAGAGGGAGCTCTGGTGAAAGAGGCTGGGTCCGGGAAACCTGGTGGAGTTGGGGAGCGCCTTCTGGTTGGCACACCGGAATAGCTGAGGCTCTGACGCAGGACTTGCTGAGGAGCTCCGTGTTCACTGGGATGATGAATGAAGTTGCAACGGGACCCATACGGGCACTCTCCATACAAGTAATATTTGTGGCAAAGCTCAGTCTTATATTTAGGGTGACGGTTTGGCTCTCGCAGTTCTATGATACCATGGGCAAACTGGCACTTGGAACCATATTTACAGGTTCCTGTTTCAGAGAAAGTGCGACATAACTCAGTTTTGTAGCGGGGGGAGGGGGCTGGAAGTGAAGGCAGTGCATTATTCAGTGGTGGAAATCCTGGTGGAGGAGGAGGAAGTGCAGACCGGGACCCCTCAATTAAGCTCACAGAACGATCAGATCTGAAGGGTGACCGTGACGTTTCAACGATCCAAGGATCAGGAATGGTCCAACGTTTCTCATCATGGAGGTCAGGGGCACAGGAATGTCTCCGCTGGGGTCCTTGAAAGCTTCTCTCTTTAGGAGTATCAAACTCTTCAGAAAGGCTCAGGTTGTGTAGGTTCTGTGGAATTATGAAATATGTTACAATAATGGAGGTAAGCAAAGGAACATAATGTATCCCTGGAAGAGGAGATACAATTTGGAAAAATAGCCCTGTAGATAATTCAGAGTCCTGAAACATGTATTACAAGTAATAAGGCACTATAGCACTGCTAGCTATACATATGATGTGTGTGAGTGTCACTATGACAGGGTGACTATGAGACAGAGTGACTGTGAGGTGGAAACATACCAAAATACTGGCCTTTGGACAGATTACAGAGACATACGGTGTGAGACAGAGTGACAGACAGAGAGAGGGAGGGTGTTTTAGTCTGACTGCAATTATTCACAATATGTGGAGCTAATTCTTCACAAAAACAATGCTACCCACTGTCTGGACCCCTCATGCACCTCTCCCTAAACTCCTGCTTCTGATTACAGGAAGTTTAATATGACAAAGAGAAGAACGAGAAATGTATGTTTTATTTGCACACACTGCCCTCACAAACCCACCTCCACTCAGACTCTGACATCCTCAAACTAGTTCTGACTTTAATTACACTTCCCGTCAACATTCGTAGCACTCCCTCCACTCCATCCCTCACAAGCCCCCTCCACTCCATCTTAACACCACCACAATAACCTGACAAACCCTCTCCACTCCATCCCACCACCACACTGACCTCACAATCCCCCTCCACTCCATCCTACCACCACCACACTGCCCTCACAATCCCCCTCCACTCCATCCCACCACAGCAATGCGCTCACAAACCCCCTCCACTCCATCCCACCACCACCACACTGACCTCACAATCCCCCTCCACTTCATCCAACCACAGCAATGCACTCACAAACCCCCTCCACTCCATCCACCACCACACTGCCCTCACAAACCTCCTCTACTACATTCCTACCACCACACTGCCCTAGCAAACCCCCTCCACACTATCTCATCACCATCACACTGCCTTCACAACTCGCTTCTGCTCCATACCACCATACTGCCCTCACAAACTCCCTTCACTCCATTGCCCCATCATCACATTGCCCTCACAAACCCCCTCCCCTCCAACCCACCACCACACTGCCCTCAAACTCCCTCTATTCCATCCCCCCACCGCACTGCCCTCACAAACTCCCTCTACTCTATCCCATCACCACCACTCTACTGCTCTCACAAATCGTCCTATCACCACTTCCGCAAAATCATCTGATATTACTCCAAAACAATCTCTAAAAATCTGTCTCGATAGACAACTCCCAGACTTCTTCTATTCGCTCAAGCTTATCTAAACCACTGGACTCTGAAGGAGAGCAGTTTAAATCTGTCCCCACGTCACCAACAGCCTTGGCTCTCAATACATCCCGATTTATGCACAGGTTCTTGAATCACAATAACTGACTTACAGACAGACCCATATGAGCTCAAGCAGGGATATCATGAAATACTGGCATGTCGGTCGATCTTTAACTTAAAGAGCACTTATTTAGATTGACTCAAAATCCTCTCCTTCACAAACCCTCTTCTTTTCCCTCTATTTTCCCATCTTCATCTCTCTGTTTCCCCTGCTCCCCTTCTGCCACTTTTCTCCAGTCCTTGTTGTCCCAGTCCTTCCTTGCCCTGTGCTTGTAGACACCATTATCCTCCCCACGTCCTGTACTCGCCTGTAGCTCAGTCTTTACCCTTAACCCACTCCCCGAGAGTCCTTGAACCCATGGGTGAGTGTGTGGCCATACCTCTTGTTCTGTACGGCCACGATAAAAAATAGATAATTATAATAAAAACCATCTATTCCTAAGGACTAACCGTAAAACAAGATCGATCACAATGAACTGTAAGACACTTTTATTGTTCTTATTGATAGATTTATATCTTTGTAGACGTTGCAATCTTTCAATAAATTTACGCTCTAGAAAACTTTCCCTGTAGAGTCGTTACACGTTTCAATACACTTCACAGACACATTGTTAAGTTTATAAAAGTTCCCCAGAACCCACCATGATCTGTGTCCGAGCTCACCTGGTACAGTGTGTGGATATCCAACATGGAGGACATATCGACCCAGAAGAGCAGCTCCCTGTGTCACCCTGCGTTCCCCTTGTACAGACTGAGCTGCTCTAAGACTGAGCAATACGCCCTTTTATAGCTAAACGTTACCCCTCCCTTCAGGCTGTGGGGCTATGAGGTCATCAAGGAGGGTAAAGTCCAAGAAGGAGGGGAAGGAGTGTTAGCTAATAATTTCACCTGAGGCTGAAAAACAAACCAAGACTCGGCTAAGCCTGGATCAGGAGAAAATTGGGGGGGTGGGAGGGGGGAGAGGAGGGGGCAGGAGGGAAACTGAGCAGTAACAGAAGGAGAACGAAAACCCCAGAAAGGGAGACAAACAAAGAAAGGGGATAGAAACCGAAAGCAAACAGAGTAATGAAGAAAAGAGGAGGAGTGGGGAGGAAATGGAAAGGGGGCACTTTCTACATACAAAATAACACAAAAAAATGTAAGGTGGGGGAGGGAGGGTGTAGGAAGGGATAGAAAAGAAAAGGGGAGACAGAGAAGTATAGAAAGCTAAGAGAGGGAGAGAGAAACAGACTAAATCAACTGCACTTACTGTACCTCCCTCTACTGTAATGTAACCTGTAAAGTGCTGAGTACACCTGTTAGTGCTATATAAATATAATATACATACACTGTATACCCACTGCACTTACTGTACCTCTCTCCTGTAATGTAACCTGTAAAGTGCTGAGTACACCTGTTAGCGCTATATAAATAAAATATACATACACTGTATACCTACTGCACTTACTGTACCTCCCTGTACTGTATTGTAACCTGTAAAGTGCTGAGTACACCTGTTAGCACTATATAAATAAAATATACATACACTGTATACCTACTGCACTTACTGTACCTCCCTCTACTGTAATGTAACCTGTAAAGTGCTGAGTTCACCTGTTAGCCCTATATAAATAAAATATACATACACTGTATACCTACTGCACCATCCTCTACTGTAATGTAACCTGTAAAGTACTGAGTACACCTGTTAGCGCTATATAAATAAAATATACATACACAGTATACCTACTGCACTTACTGTACCTCCCTCTACTGTAATGTAACCTGTAAAGTACTGAGTACACCTGTTAGCGCTATATAAATAAAATATACATACACTGTATATCTACTGCACTTACTGTACCTTCCTGTAATGTAACCTGTAAAGTACTGAGTACACCAGTTAGCACTATATAAAATATACATACACTGTATATCTACTGCACTTACTGTACCTTCCTCTACTATACTGTAACCTGTAAAGTACTGAGTATACCTGTTAGCGCTATATAAATATAATATACATACACTGTATACCTAATGCACTTACTGTACCTCCCTCTACTGTAATGTAACCTGTAAAGTGACGAGTACACCTGTTAGCGCTATATAAAATATACATACACTGTATACCTACTGCACTTACTGTACCTCCCTCTAATGTAACATGTAAAGTACTGAGTACACCTGTTAGCTCTATATAAATAAAATATACATACACTGTATACCTACTGCACTTACTGTACCTCCCTCTACTGTAATGTAACCTGTAAAGTGCTGAGTACACCTGTTGGCACTATATAAAAAAAAAATATACATACACTGTATACCTACTGCACTTACTGTACCTCCCTCTAATGTAACATGTAAAGAGCTGAGTACACCTGTTAGCGCTATATAAATAAAATATACATACACTGTATACCTACTGCACTTACTGTACCTCCCTCTAATGTAACATGTAAAGAGCTGAGTACACCTGTTAGCGCTATATAAATAAAATATACATACACTGTATACCTACTGCACTTACTGTACCTCCCTCTACTGTAATGTAACCTGTAAAGTGCTGAGTACACCTGTTAGCGTTATATAAATAAAATATACATACACTGTATACCTACTGCACTTACTGTACCTCCCTCTAATGTAACATGTAAAGTACTGAGTACACCTGTTAGCTCTATATAAATAAAATATACATACACTGTATACCTACTGCACTTACTGTACCTCCCTCTAATGTAACTGTAAAGAGCTGAGTACACCTGTTAGCGCTATATAAATAAAATATACATACACTGTATACCTACTGCACTTACTGTACCTCCCTCTACTGTAATGTAACCTGTAAAGTGCTGAGTACACCTGTTAGCGCTATATAAATAAAATATACATACACTGTATACCTACTGCACTTACTGTACCTCCCTCTACTGTAATGTAACCTGTAAAGTGCTGAGTACACCTGTTAGCTCTATATAAATAAAATATACATACACTGTATACCTACTGCACTTACTGTACCTCCCTCTACTGTAATGTAACCTGTAAAGTGCTGAGTACACCTGTTGGCGCTATATAAAAATAATATACATACACTGTATACCTACTGCACTTACTGTACCTCCCTCTAATGTAACATGTAAAGTGACGAGTACACCTGTTAGCGCTATATAAATAAAATATACATACACTGTAGACCTACTGCACTTACTGTACCTCCCTCTAATGTAACATGTAAAGAGCTGAGTACACCTGTTTGCGCTATATAAATAAAATATACATACACTGTATACCTACGGTACCTCCCTCTACTGTAATGTAACCTGTAAAGTGCTGAGTACACCTGTTAGCGTTATATAAATATAATATACATACACTGTATACCTACTGCACTTACTGTACCTCCCTCTACTGTAATGTAACCTGTAAAGTGCTGAGTACACCTGTTAGCGCTATATAAATAAAATATACATACGCTGTATACCTACTGCACTTACTGTACCTCCCTCTACTGTAATGTAACCTGTAAAGTACTGAGTACACCTGTTAGCGCTATATAAATACAATATACATACACTGTATACCTACTGCACTCACTGTACCTCCTTCTACTATAATGTAACCTGTAAAGTGATGAGTACACTTGTTAGCGCTATATAAATAAAATATACATACACTGTATACCTACTGCACCTCCCTCTATTGTAATGTAACCTGTAAAGTGCTGAGTACACCTGTTAGTGCTATATAAATAAAATATACATACACTGTATACCTACTCCACTTACTGTACCTCCCTCTACTGTAATGTAACCTGTAAAGTGCTGAGTACACCTGTTATTGCTATATAAATAAATTATACATACACTGTATACCTACTGCACTTACTGTACCTCCCTTTACTGTAATGTAACCTGTAAAGTGCTGAGTACACCTAGCAAAACAAGTTGTTTGCACTACTTTACCAAAATATACCAAGTTGCCTTAGTATATAAAAATTCTAAACACAGTTATGGTGTAGTATTTTTAGTTTACAAAAGGTGAGACTTATAAACACATTAAACTCACACAATCAGACTAATTGTTTTTAAATGATTTTGTAAAGAGTGTATTATCAGTGAGAATATATTCAAAGTGAAGTTAATGTGAAAATAGACACTCGCTGACCTTCGATATGAAATTGATTTTAATTTCCCTTTCGTTTCTTAGTTTAGTAAATAAGCCTGTAAGTGATTTATTGCTGCCCTGTTGGTTTTGTTTTGGTGCTTATTCTCTCACGATTCACTAGTCTATATGGCCTTTACTGCATGGCGCAAAATCCTATTTGGTTGCATACAGCGTCAGTTGAAAAATATTAAAAATGCAATAAAATAAATCAATATTCGCCCTGTGAGCTCTGGCCGCAGACACTTTTCCCACTCCATATCATCTATTACATGCAATATGAGGAGCAAAGCCATTTTCACTTCATTTGCAAATCTTTCTCGTCACATAATATATTTGCATAATGTATTTTGGTAAATTGGGCTATAGTGGTTATGGTGCCCGGTGTGCCCCTAATGTGAGGAGTTAGCCAGTTAGCTGGCCCTGCCCAGGAGCGCTTTGGGCTCTCCTTTTGATAGAGAGAAGGGGTGGATTGGTGCCCAGTAGACCAAAAAAAAAATCGGGGTCTGCAAAGCACACCTGGAACCATAACCACTACAGAGCACAAAACAATTGTTTAATAGCTTGTTTATTCACAGGACTCAATGAGAAGATGTGGTTCAGATTCAGACTTAATAAAAGACGATTTACAGTAAGATAATGAATTACCTGCATAAATAGGTTTGTAAAGATTTTGAATGATTTTTTTGGGGGTGAGGGCTGTTGACAAATAATATATTGGTAAATGTATGTTGATTCAAAAAGAACTGTGATTACTATTTCGGAGTCAAGAAGCAATATTTGGACAAGAATTGGTATTTCATCATATTTTGAATTAACAACAAAACAAATTGTGAAATGTCGAACTTTGCATTTTTTTAACCTATATAATTATGTAACTAGTGAAACAAATCTAGCCCACACACCAGATCTGAGTACCAAGAAATACGTAACCCCCATAAAACCAACAAAATAATGGGAAATGCTCCATATATAGACTTACAACACAACACCATATCCTCATCCACATTCATAGAAACATAGACTGTGACAACAGATAAGAACCATTTGGCCCATCTTGTCTGCCCACTTTTCTAAATTCACATTCAGACCTAGATACATTCACAGCTAGATACATTCATAGCTGGATACATTCCCACTGGATACATTCATATTTGGATACATTCACACCTAGATACATTCATATTTGGATACATTCACATCGGCTACATTCACACCTAGATACATCCATAGCTGGATACATTCCCACGGGCAACATTCACACCTAGATACATTCCCACCGGCTACATTTACACCTAGATACATTCATTTTTGGATACATTCATGTCTGAATACATTCCCACCGGCTACATTCACATCCAGATACCTAGATACATTCACACTCAGTCATTAGACACTCACAGTTAGCACTCCAGTCACTCACTTACAGACGATACCGTCACACTCACACTGTTCATATGAAAGTGATATATGCAATGTGATAAAATATTTTGGCGTGTGTGTGTGTGTGTGTGTGTGTGTAAATATGTGTATTATATTTATACAGTGTGTTATGTGTGTCTATGAGGTAAATCCCCACTTGTTTCCTTTACAGTCCTGTCTGTAAGTTACAGTCTCGCTCAGTGAATACCTGGTATTGTATGGCTCAAACTCTAACAATGGGGTCATTTTGTGTGACTGTGATCTTTATGTGTGTGATAATATGTAGCATTGTGTGTGACAGTTTGTAGTATTGTTTGTGAGAGATATTGAGTAGTATTGTGGTAATGTGTGTTTGTGTGAGAGAGACTGTGTGTAGCATTAAATGTTTGTATGAGAGACCGTACGTAGTATTGAGTGTTTGGGTGAGAGAGATAGTGTGTATATTTAGAAAATTGGGCAGACTAGATGGGCCGAATGGTTCTTATCTGCCGTCACATTCTATGTTTCTATGTGTCTATGTGTAGTATTGAGTGTTTATGTGAGAGAGAGAGTGTGTAGTATTGGGTGTTTGTGTGAGAGAGACAGTGTGTAGTATTGAGTGTTTGTGTGTGAGAGACCGTTTGTAGCATTAAATGTTTGTATGAGAGACCGTACGTAGTATTGAGTGTTTATGAGAGGTAGTGTGTAGTATTAAGTGTTTGTGTGAGAGAGACAGTGCGTAGTATTGACTGTTTGTGTGCGTGATAGTGTGCAGCACTGAGTATGTGTGTGCGACAATGTGCAGCGCTGAGTATGTGTGTGATAGTGTGTGATAGTGTGCAGCGCTGAGTATGTGTGTGACAGTGTGCAGCGCTGAGTATGTGTGTGACAGTGTGCAGTGCTGAGTATGTGTGTGTGATAGTGTGCAGTGCTGAGTATGTGTGTGCGATAGTGTGCAGTGCTGAGTATGTGTGTGCGATAGTGTGCAGTGCTGAGTATGTGTGTGCGATAGTGTGCAGTGCTGAGTATGTGTGTGATAATATGCAGCGCTGAGTACTTGCACTGTGAGACGATTAAGAAATGCAGACGCAGCAGTTGCATCACTGTGAGCACATACAGGGTTTCCCCAAACTGCACCCAGAGTGACGGGGACGATGGGGTGCAGACTCAGACAATGTTGCGCACAATTCCTCTCTAACACACCCTCTGCGGGGAGTCACATGAATAAATGAGAATAAAATGCCAAATTATTCCTGTCATGGTGGAACTATATCATGTCTTCGACATAACCCCTCCCGCAGACCAAAAGGGAGCCATCTGAAGGCAGCCCAGTCAGCTAGCCCACCCCATGTTTGTAGTGTCAGTATATGCATGTACCACAAACCCAGATATGTATATACTGGGGTACCCCAAACCGAGATATGGAATACTGGGGTACCGAAACCCAGATGTGGATGTACTGGGGTACCTCAAACCCACATATATCTATGTACTGGGGTACCCAAACCCAGATGTGAATGTACTGGGGTACCCCAAACCGAGATATGGAATACTGGGGTACCGCAAACCCAGATGTGGATGTACTGGGGTACCCAAACCCAGATATGCATGTATTGGGGTACCCCAAACCCTTACATGAATGTATTGTGGTACCCCAAATCCAGATATGTATGTATTGGGGTACCTCAAACCCAAATCATCTGTTCAGACATGCATGTATCTGGGGTTATTTAACCAGTTCAGATAAGAATGTATCGGGGGTTATTTAACCAGTTCAGATAGGAATGTATCGGGGGTTATTTAACCAGTTCAGATAGGAATGTATAGGTGGTTATTTAACCAGTTCGGATAGTAATATAGCGTGGATTTAATAACCAGTTCAGATAGGAATGTATCAAGGGTTATTTAACCAGTTTAGAAAGGAATATATCAGGGGTTATTTAACCAATTCAGATAGGTAAGTATCGGGGGTTATTTAACCAGTTCAGTTAGGAATGTATCGGGGGTTATTTAACCAATTCAGATAGGAATGTATGGGGGGTAATTTAACCAGTTTGGATAGGCATGTATCAGGAGTTATTTAACCAGTTCGGATAGGATTGTATCAGGGGTTATTTAACCAGTTCAGATAGGCATGTATCAGGGGTTATTTAACCAGTTCAGATAGGCATGTATCGGGGATAATTTAACCAGTTACGATAGGTATATATCGGGGGTTGTTTAACCAGGTCAGATAACAATGTACTGGGGGTTATTTAACCAGTTAGGATTGACATGTACCGGGGGTTATTTAACCAGTTAGGATAGACATGTACTGGGGGTTATTTGACCAGTTTGGATAGGTATGTATCGGGGGTTATTTAACCAGTTCAGATAGGAATGTATCGGGGGCATGTATCGTGGCTTTATTTAACCAGTTCAGATAGGAATGTATCAGGGTTTATTTAACCAGTTCCAATGTTATTCTGTAGACTGTCAGTGACTGTTACTGCCCCAGTAACCATCTGTGATATTCATTGCAGCCTGGTCTGGTGGAAGAGGTCCTCAGAGACCCCAGTCATGATTCGGCGACTGTGTCTGAAGTCCTACTGCGTCCTGTAGTAGAAAGGAAGCTGACCGCGCGGACGTACTCCATTGGAGTGCGGTAGCCCCGTCACAGATACCTGTTAACACATTGTTTTAAGGTTGATAAAATGGATGCCATTGAATTGGGTAAAAGTATCTGTAACCTAGAAATTAATTTATTTCATTATATCGTTTACAGTGTATCACAATTTGAGGAGAACAGACATTGTCCGATGGGTAACACAGGGAGAAGATAGATCCTGCATTCGGGAAATGGAGAGAGCGGAAACCAGAGTAAAACTAGAAGATCATGTCCATGTTTGGTTTGGCAAACCCACAGAGATTGTGTAACTGAAACAAATAGCTTCACGCTCTGATTTCCTGGAATGTCCTATTCCACCTCCTCTACCCAGAAGCCTCATTACGAGGAGAGCAGGACAAACCTGATGAGCTTGCAATTACCGACTGTTTTTATAATACAAACAATAGGTGTCCTAGTGACAGACAGAACATACAGCTTGTGCAGATACAATATATCTTTACAGTGACCCCTTTCAGCCTCCCAGATACATGTTAACCTCCGATTTCCTATGCCTGGATCAGTGCAGGCAGTACATTTTGGGGTACACTCCTGATATTAATAACCTTGGATCACAGCAAGCAGTGTATATTGGGGTTTATTGCAAGTATCTACTGTTATTTATCATCTATATCACTGCTCCCACTGGAAGGCTATGCCAGGTATCTACTGCCCTTTCTGTATCTGATTGTTAATATATACTGCTTCCAGTGGAAAGCTCTTCAGTGTGTTATTTACTATCATTTCAATCAGCTGGTTGTGGACAATTTCCTATATGCAATCTTCAGTCAATAATGGCTACTGAAGTCCAAAGATAGTGGGGTGTTAAGCTTTACCCCAGAATTTGGCTCTGTCTATTGTGTTGCTGACTCTGACCCAATGAGAGACCATCTACTCTATAAACCTATAGATACACGTAATCAGGAAAAACCAACCTCTGTACAGGTCTGAACACGCGGGAATATGTATGCTTTTATTTAAGGTCATCCAGGATATGACGAACCAATACTACACCAGCAGGGCAGACTAACCAGGCTTGGGGGATCTATAGCTAAAAAAACAAGTTGTTAGTTTTGTTTTTTAAATGTCTTAAAATCTTCATGTGATTAGTTTGCTCAGTTGGATCTCCAGTCATCATTTAAGGGGAAGGAAACAGCAGATATAATCATGGCAGACATCACATTTCTGCAACTTATGTATCATTAGTTCTTAACACACCACAATTATTACTTCTTGTATATTGCGACTGAGAGGGTGCATTGCCCCACCTGCACTATAGACCTGCCTCCATGGCCTCCAGCCTCAGTCAGTCATCTTTGGCCTTATCTTCCCCAGTCCCAGCTCACCCTACAGTCATTACCATATGGGTCCTCAACCTGCCACCATGCTCACATACGTTCTTGTTTCCTACATTTTATGCATGTGAACCCTGACTTGCTCTCAGGACGCTAAGTCTGCCACGTCCAAAGACTTGCTCGTCTTAGACTCCCCTCATCTGCTTTAACCTTAGCTGTAATTTTTCTGTTCCTACTTTATTAAGAGACGTCAGCAGTTCATCCAATCTACAGACACTATGGGTTCCTGCACAGCGCAAGTTCCGAGACTCAACACAGGAAGTTGGCACAATGGACTGCAAATATATCATCTGTCATTATAACAGATGGTTACTGAGGCAGTAACAGTCACCGACGGTCCACAGAATAACATTTGCCCTGGGGAAGCAAATGTATTCATTTCAATGTCACGTCTGTTCGTGATTGGTCATCCAGTGATTCCATGTAGCAAAAAAGGGGTCTGCACTCCTGGTTGTAGAGGGATGGAGAGCTACTCCACATAGGTCCTCGAGAACAGGGGCTGGCGTGCCCCAAACTATGCTTGCAAAATGCACTTTGATAGGAAGCACAGGCTAAGAAGTGACAATGTTTTAGCCAAGTAAGGCCTTTCTCAAGTCAAGTGATTGTTCAGCCAGTGATGGAATCACTCATGAAAATGTCTTATGTTGTAAATGTACGAACGGTTAATTATCAGAAAAAAATGGAGTAAAAGAGAGAGAGTAAGGAAAAGTGTCAAGGGATTCGTTTGTCACGTTGCAGAAAAAACGCCAATGTATAAAGGGTGGAGTCACAGCTTTATACATAGGAAAACTGTGCATGCGCCCCAAACCAGGACCAACGTTAATGTCCTGGTTTGGGAAGGGAAGAGAGTTCTGATTGGCTGGTTTCTCATTGTAACATTGTAGCAGGTCCAGACCAGATACATTTTCCTGACATTCTACAATAAAACAGCGAGAATCATACCCAGCATGGTGCAAATTTAATTTTATCGGCAAACTGCTGGGATTATCCCAAATATTTCTGTGTATGTTCCGATCCGATTGATGCGCCAATCTCTTTCTCCTGTCAGTCACTTCCCAGTTGATGTTCTCAGCAGGCGACCCGGTAAAACCGGTAAAAAGCCAAGCCTCTTAGACTGACAGATAATATCAAAAGTAAAAAATAATCTACTTCTGTTTTAATATACAAAAAGATATTAGCATTTCTGGGTTTATCCAACCTTCTAAGCTAAATATGTGAAATGTCTGATTCTGGTAACACATTGCAGCTGGGTCTGGCATCCAAACCATTAAACTCTCGGTATGGAATTCCCCCCCACCATCACGCCTTCTGGCTGCAGACAAAGGGTTAAGGTGCCTGGGCGGAGTCAACCAAGGCTGGGTACAAAGTGTAACTGAGTGTTAGTCATCAAGGGGAGGTGTAACTCCCACAATGCACTGCATGTCTGCGCCTCTCCCTCCCTCCCACCATGTGAATGCACAAACAGAACAGGATTACAACACAAAGGACAAGTGTTACACCAGAAAAGCTGGCAGCCTGTCTGCTGCTTACATCACTGTGATGCAATGGAACACCCTTCCCCCAGGAGATAATGCTTTCATGATGCAATGAGGACCCCCATCCAGCAAACTAGCAATCTAATGATATAAATGTAGGTGCTATCAAACTACTAATGCAAAGAGAGACCCTGAACCCAGGAGCTAACAGTCTAATGATATAATGATAGACCTTGAACCCAGGAGCTTACAGTCTAATGATATAATGATAGACCCTGAACCCAGGAGCTAACAGTCTAATGATATAATGATAGACCCTGAACCCAGGGGCTAACAGTCTAATGAGATAATGATAGACCCTGTACCCAGAAGCTTACAGTCTAATGACATAATGATAGACCCTGAACCCAAGAGTCTAAATATATAATGATAGACCCTGAACCCAAGAGCTAACAGTCTAATGATAGACCCTGAACCCAATAGCAAACAGTCTAATCATATAATGATAGACCCTGAACCCAGGAGCTAACAGTCTAATGATATAATCATAGACCCTGAACCCAGGAGCTAACAGTCTAATGATATAATGACAGACCCTGAACCCAAGAGCTAACAGTCTAATGATAGACCCTGAAACCAAGCGCTAACAGTCTAATCATATCCCCAACAGCCCATCCACTCCATGCTGTTTGGTCTAATGAGGAAGCCTTAACCTGAGTGGTATTGTGTGTTTCTGATTGGCTGAGAGTGTCAACTGACTGGTTTTAGCCTATCACAGTGCCTAGTGCTTGTATGAATTGGTACGACTAAAAAGCTGTCTGTAATCTCTGACTCGAGGTAAAGCTATGGGAAACCAACCACCCAGACCACTTCATTTCAATGCTCCCCCCCCATCCCCTGTTTAAGGCCCTTTTGCTGAAAACACTGCCAATCTGCAAAGAGAGACCATCAGATCGGTGCAGTGCGGCCGAAGGAAAGCATTGGATTGGCTGAGATCATCAATCTCATCAAGACCTTCATCGAAGAGGAATAGCGGTTGGCCCAGACCCAGGAGCTTGCAATCTATTAGTCGAATGCAAGAAACCATGTCATAAGATTTAAAATTCTAATGTCAAATAAATTGACCCAATCAGTGTACAATCCGATAATACCTGCTATAATCCTAGTTCACAAAGCTTACACTCTACAATATTATTAAAATCCATCGGAATAATGAATGACCCTGTGTGTCCGCTCTATTTTTAGATTGAGAGTTTGCTAGACAGGAAACACAGAGAGGCAACAGTGCAGTATCGATAACACTAGCAGTATCATGTTCAAAGTCCGTCTCACATGTTTTCCAATATCGCCTGCCACATTAGTGACAAATCATGTTTATTAAAAGAACAGACATTAAACAGAACGAAATCCACCAAAACCCAACACTATGAATCATTCAGTGAACTGATGAATTATTGTTTGTCGATAAATCATATCTTTTAGAAAGCGTTCTGAGCAATGAAATAGCAGCTATGATGAGGGGGAGAAACTCCAGTTAAGGAGTTGGGGGAACCGTGTCCCATGGCTCCTGGAGGGTGTCAACGTTTTGCACCCATGTTCTATAGTGCTTTGCAGAAACAGTCACCCCTTAGATGTTTCCACATTTTATCATGCTCCATCCTGGAATTAAAATAGATTTTATTTAGATTTTAGTGAAGAAACACATGGGCACTTTCTGGCGGTATAAAGAGCCATCTTTGGTTGTGGTTAAAGCTGAGGAACGTTTGGGGTGAGTTTCTACCGGTTTCGCACATGTGTATCCGGTATTGTCGAATGGTTCTTGGGTTTAAATCTGTCCTGTGCGTAAGGTGTGTTGTGTAAGACATAAGGTGAGATTAAAATGTAATTCCCGGTTGTAATTACCGTATACAAAATGTGTGAACCTCCACGGGGTGTATGAAAGGCACTGTAATGCACACTCTTGCAAGGCTTGATCCAGACTCACAGAATTTATTATGATGACAAACTAGTTACACAGAGAATCGACCTCACAGCGTGAATATTAAACGCGGCATTTTACTTCCTTGTGGACGTTGGTGAAGGCTATAATTAAAAGTCCAGATCATGTCAGAACACATCTCACCCTAACCCTACCTGGGGCATATCTAACCAGCCACTAAAACATCCACTCATTTTTATCCTTTTTAACAGCTGGCCTGATATAATGTTTTGTTATATTTTCAGGGGATTTTATCCTAATTCAGATAAATGGTGATGGGGAATCTCAATGAAAGAGAGCAAAGTGGTTGGTCCACCATGGATTGACATGGCCCCTGTCACTGGTAATAACCCAATATGGCGGCTTTACATCATACAGTGTGTGGTAAGATGAGAGGACCTGCACAGTATTCCTGCCTCACCCCTCCATCCTGTCACACAAAGGGACATCATGGACCCAACATGACTATGGGAAGAACCTCCAAAATTATGTATAAAATGTCTAACACCAATTGCACCAAAGATAGATGACAGACACAAGAACTCTGCACCGTTCCCAGCACTGAAGGGCTCAGCGCTA